GGCTGCGGGAGGCGACACCCGCCCTGGCTCCCCGCCACCTCTCCGTGTCCCCCCGCCCGGGCGAAGGGCACCTGGCCGGGCTGCCTGGGGGCAGAGAGAGAAGGGCTGGGAGGGAGCTGGGAGGAGGGCTGTGCTGCACGCACACGAGGGGGGTCCAAGCCTCAGCTGTCCCCGTCCACACCCCTCCATGTCAGCCCCTGGGTGTGCTCAGGATCGGTGCTCCCCAGAGAAAAGCCACTGCCATCCCACTGCCACAACATCCCAATACACGCACCCAGCCAGGCTGGCCAGGATCTGTCTTTTGGGAGCGCCCAAAATGGTTTTGGAAAGGACCTCTGGGACAGCCTAGGCTAGGAGGAGAGGTAAAGGGGTCAGTGTATCAATGGGAGCTTGTTTCTGTCTGCCGCCATTCAGGAATGGAAAAGCCAGTGTGCAGACAGCGTGGTGCCAAAATGATGCTGAGGACAGAGCCCTGCTGCTGGAACAGAGCCATCTCCTCCATCACTCAGTGCTACCATCACTTTCCAGGCAAACTCAGCTCCCCAAACTGCAGGCAACTCTGCAATCAGAAGCACAGGAGACAAATCCTCCCTCCGATTTGGACATAGAACACCATCAGTTCTTAGGTTATCATGTTGCTTCATTAGATAATGACCTACTTCATCTTGGGAACACACTGAGTTTCTCACCATAGTAGCAAGCAACCTTTGGGTGTGAGTACGTTGGAGCAGGGACTGGCTTGCTGGGGTGCTTGTAGTGCCATGCTACCAATTGCATGGAGCTGTATTAACAGCCCTGTCTGCTCTGAACGTCCTGGGTTTTACAACACATCCAACGGTAGTGGACAATGCCCTGGGCTACCAGCAATTTACACTCTCATGAGTAAGAATTTACAGGACCAAAAATTACATGTCTACTTTTCCTCTCCACTGCCTTGGCGTTCACATGAGGATTGTTACCAGCACCACAAACACTCATTTGCCACACGTGTAGACAGATAAACCCTCAGAGAAAGCCTGCATGTGTGCACCCATATGACAAAGAAGGATTGAATAAAATTTCAAAGGCAGTTTTAGAAAGGCACTATTGCAAAAAGCTTGTGAAGACAAAGAGGCAACCACTCCATGAACATGGTGATGTAACACGAACAGACTTTTGTAGGATATGCCAGAAGCCAGAACTGCAGAATGTCATTTTCTATAGTCTTTTAACACACAGCACCTCTCCTTGAGACTGAAGCACTGAAATCCTCCACAGACCTTGGAGGTCTCCAGAAGGTCCATCTGTGAATGCTAAGTCACAGGGCCATTTGGAATAGAGGGTCATTTCTAAGCCCTCCTTTCAGTGCAGCCTGCCAGCTCCTTTCAGGATCAGTTAAACACTCAGCTTCCCCACATCTGCTCTGAGAATTACCATGTCCCGAACACTCACGTTTTGTCCACTGCCTTTCCAGTTCCCCTTGTGATTCCTGGTCCCCATCTCTGCCTGTCCATGTCAAAACAGTCACCCTATGTTCATCTGCTCATGACAGAACAGAGGGACATGCATCCTGTAGTCACAACACAGCCTTCCTCCGCCAAGTAAGATGGGAACCCATCCAACACCACCCCACAGCCTCCAGTTCGTTGTGTGCTCAGGGATTTCAAAGTCTAGCACGTACCACACCATTCAACAGCTAAACACAACTGTCAGCCAGTCTGGGGTCATGTAATCAGAATCAGTCCTCCTCACATGTCCCATGTCAGCTTCAGAGAGTACTGTGATCAGCCTTTTTTCTCATTTACAAGTGAGAAACTCACTCCTGAACTAAATTCAGCCCTTAGCTTGGTCCCCAGCATGTCCTTCCTTGCTTACCTTGGCAGTAACAAGCTCTCAGGAGTCACGGATTAATGTGTCCCAAGTGAGGGTCTGTTTGTTACCTGTAAAAAGAGAGATACCTTGTTCACTCTGGACAGTGAGGATATTTAACACCATACATCATCACTGTGCCTTGGGCCAGGGTGCAAACACCCCAGAGAAGGCAGAGCAATGGTGCAACTGGAATCTCAGCCTCCTCATGTGAGCAGACACGCTCAGCCAGACCGGAGGACACGGGTTCGCGACATGTGCCTCCTGCTGCAAGGCAGCCTGCTTCTCCCAGCAGACACAGATCTCCAGCCCTGCAGATGCACCCCACAAGATGTAATTGTGTCTGCCAGTGGTTTTTGACCTGTGGTCTGCAGGCTCCAAAGGGCTGTGGACTGCTGCTAGGATGCTGGGAGGGTGTAATGAAGTAAAGCAAGTGAGCCAGGCAGAAGCAGATCCACTAACAGAGATGCAAGATCCCAGCAGCTTAGAAGACTGCACAGAGAACAATTGCAAACCACGGGCGTACACTCGTGTGCACTTGCTTTGCACAGGAACACTTGGACAGCTCCATTGCACATCATCTTGCCAGTCTCAGAAATACCCACCTGCAAAAGACAGACCAGCTGTCCCGCTGGCCTAACTGGGCAATGCTCAGGTGAGTTCAGCTGAGACATTAGACTTCCACCAGCAAAAAGTCTGATACTATCTGATTTCCCAGTGCTGAGACAATGGCCAAGTGTCATTGTTAAGATAACAGCACTAAGCAAACTGAACTGGCAAGACTTAAAATATTCTGCTGTCTGCAGCCACCCTTTAGGTGCACAAAATTTTCCAAATAATGAGAGAAGGGTGGGGGGAGGGAAATAAGATGAACCAGAAAATACCCTGGGCTAAAAATTTATGGACTCAATGTGAAGTGAATATTTACAGCTATATTATTTATAAAACCCTCACAGGCAGGATTTATGCCCTGGGCTAAAAATTTATGGACTATCAATGTGAAGTGAATATTTACAGCTATGTTATTTATAAAACCCTCACAGGCAGGATTTATAATGGGAATGCAGATTCATCTTAATGGTATAGCTCGGATTGAGGGAGTTTAATTACTGCTCTGACATGCACTGCTGCATGCCCAGCCATGCCATCCTCTCAGCAGCTTTCTTCATCTGCGCACATTACTCTTGGCGTAGGAGGCTCCATTTCCCTGAAGCCTTATGGTTAAGGGAGACACTGGCATGATGCCTTGGTAAGCTTCTGGCCCACATCCAGCTGTGGCTGTCTGTCCTTCAGGACCGATCAACTGCTTGGGTTCCTTAGTTGCTTATGGGTATCATCTGTGCACACACAGTGATGGGGTTGTAAAGCATTTGATTTATTACCGTTTTCTCCACCAGATCTGTAGCCAGGGTCTCTTTACTATGGTGCTCTCTGCCTGATCCAAGCATATCCAGAGCAGGAGAGAGTGGATACCGCACTGGCTTTGATTGCTGATTAGGGTTAAGATCCCCCACCTCTGTTCGCTATGACTCCATCCCTGCTGGTGATGTATGTGTGTACGTCCAGCTTTTTTTTTTTCCCTTCTCTTGCTCTTTTTTTTTTTTGAGCGCTCAGTGCATCTTTCACAGGGTGGTGCCTGAAGCACGCATTCCGTGGAGCAGCGCGAACATATGGGGCACCCATTTGCTTATTCATTTCTCCTGGCAGCAGCATACAGAATGGGCATAGGACTCGTTTCCTCCCTCAGCTGAGCCCTCCTTGTCAACGGATTCAAACCCATCACTATCCCTACCAGGGAGCTTTGTTGTTCTACATTTCTGCTCCTGGGGTATTTTTTTCTGCCCAGATGCACTTTTTTTTTTTCCTCCACAGCTGTGGTATCTCCTGATTGTAAAAACTGTGTCACATATTAGATCTTAGCCTTCCCTCTTAGGAAAAAAGAGCTTAGTTCTTTGCAGTATCACCCATCTGGCCCCTGGGGAGGCTTCTTGTTCCTAAGGATGCTGAGGTTTCTTCCAGCATATCCAAAGGTGCCCCATAGCCTGTTCCCCTAGCTCACAATGTGGAAGATGGGAAGAGGACTCTCCTAACTGTTGTGTAGAGTTACCTATAAATTTACCAGTACACCCAAAAGACAATACTGCCAGTGCTTAGCGCTTACTGAAAAATTCAAAGCACAGCTAAACTCATACTGATGGGCAGGACTTTTGCTCAGCCAGCCACCACCAGGGTGTATGGCAGTGTCTAAATACCTGAGAAAGGTTTGATTCTTCCAGAAAAGCTGAGATTGGAGAAGCAGGTTTAGAGCCAGCCTTCCTGCTTGGCTTCTTCAGCAGATTCACACACAGAGGCTGACAAAACCGAGTTTCTCTGGAGCTAATTCTCTCTGGGCTCCAGCCAGCCTGGAAACGATACTGCTCTCACCTTCCTGTGGTAGGTAGAAACAAGGTGTTCAGTCCCTAGGCTGACTAGCTCAACTTAGCACTGCATCTCATTCAGCTCTCTGGCTGTCCAGATCCCCCATCACAGTAGTGCTGGGTCAGACACAGCTGCTTCACCTTTGTTTCCTGTATTAAGCAACCCAGCTGGCACCTTATTGGATTTACTTTCCAGTTTCAAAACATGTCGTGGTTATAGCGCAAAGGAAGCCCGTGTATCTCACTGTCTGTTTTTCTTGTAGGACCTGGGACTGGAAGGAACATTCCTCAATGAAGTGCTCTACAAAAATGCAACTTTCCTCAACTTGGTGGATCCCATCTCCCATGACTTGCTGATGAGCCTTGCTAGAGATCTGCAGTGCCCCAAAAAGGTGAACCCTTCTCTCAGCTCAGTGAATACTTTGCAACGTAGCACTGATGCAAAGAGAACCCTAATGGGCTGGCTGGTGCTCTGCAATCCTTCAGAACCAGACAGTATATGCCCTTGGAGTGGTAGCATATAGATTGCTGTGCGTATTTCTGTAGAAATGAGTTAAAACTACCTCAGAACAGGAATGCAACTGAAGGAGGGGGTGGTTGTGCGCACAGAAATCAGGAATTTACTCTGTATGCCAATAGTAAACTTGACAACAGCATACAGACCAGATAGAAACATACAGGGTGGACGGTGGTGCCACATTCACTGGTGTGCCCCAGAGGTCCAAAGTACCCAGCTTAGCAGAGGCTCATGGGGCTGCAGGGAGGAACAGAGACCTCTACACCTCTGTCCAGGCTGCTGCCTCTGCAGGAGGAGAACCACCTCTCTCCTCCCTTTGCCATATGTAACTACCCTAACCCTAACTCATCCCTAATAGGGGGATGTGATGTTCCCCCTCCCAGATCCCTGAGTAAAGAATGGTGCTGTAGGAATACATTGCAACTCAGGGTTCAAGAAGCAAATGTGTTATGTGCACAGCATCCCTGCACTGCTCTGGCACTTTGCTTCAGAGAACGAGGAGAGCAGAGACAAAGACAAGGCTGAGTGCAGACAGACATCACAGATACCACAGCACTACTGCAACACTAGCATCTACTTCTGTTACCCTTTGCCACCACAAACATTTGGATTTGCAATACATCCATTTGCTGATCAGGCTTGGCAAGTGTCATGTTTGCTTTATAAGGAGAGCAACAGACTGAATTTCCTTATTCAAAGAAAGATATTAAGCACACACAGCTCAGAGCAAACAGCAGCACCCTAGGGAATACACTGAATGCCTGGTGTAGATTAGTGGCATTTCTAACCTTGTTCTGCCATCTCCTGAGGCTCCCTGATAACAATTAACCAGTCAGGTCTCGATAGACAAACTACATTTAGCCAAAGTTTAATCATCATCATTGGGCTGCAAGGCAGCCTGAAAAAAAATCTTTAAAGTGTAATTTTTGTGCAAATTTTATACACATCTAAAAGGAAGGGGGAGGGTTGCAGCAGTAGTACCTCTTAATCATACTTCACTTGACCTCATCTCCAGCTGTTCTACCAAACCATCTCCAGCCTCATGCTGTGCAGTGCCCTTCAGGAGAGGCAGCATGAGGGGATGTTACCCTACTCCAGTACCCAGGTGCCTGGCAGATAACACACTACATTTTTTATATGCCTGCATATACCCACCTTGCCCCCCATTTTCATGTCTTACAGATGCACACACTTATCTGCACCAACACATATACCATTATATAGATAAGATTTTCTCCATTCCTAAGGAAGATGTTGAACACCTCAGCTGCCCCTCAAAGCCATCAGGGGTTTAATTAAGGGGTTTGAAAGACTTAGTACCCTACAGCACCAACATCCTTCTCAGCACAAACATCAGCAGACCACATCCCCTCTCCGCCCCTGGCTGAGCATCTGGTGGGTGTTAACTGCATTACAGGCAAGCAAGCCGAGTGCAATTCCCAGTCTGTCAGTGGAAATTAAATCAGTGAGGACACGGGAAGGAACAGGAGGGTAATTCACAGTTGTGAGCCAACAAATGCTTGCAGAGCATTGTCCCAGCTTCTGCGCTGAAGCCCAATGTGCACATGCACCCACTTGGAAAGGTCTGCTCTTGTAGGTGACAGCAGGGTGCCAGTTGCAGCCTTGCCAGCACAGTGTAGTAGTCTAGAACAAGGCACCTAACCCAAAGGCATGGGCCAGTCTCTGTGGGGTTCCTAGGGGAGCTGTGCCAGGGATCAGGGGGTGCTCAGCTGAGCACCGAGGCTGGGATCCCTCTCCACTTGGTGCAGCAGAACAGCCACATGCTGGCGGCGCATCCCTGGGGAGTTCAACTGATTCAGCGGCTGCTTAGGAAAGTCACAGTGCAGCTGTTGGCCCACAGTACAGCACTTTAACCGTGTGCAATAAAGAATGAATTAGCATATTCCCTCACAGCTTTACTATGTGTTTACCTATCAAATCCCTAAATGCACATGTTGCACCACAGCTGGAGGGCTGAGGAATAGGAACACAGGTGTCTGTCAGCATTTGGAAAATATGCTAGAGGGGGCAGAAATCCCAGCTGTGAGCAGCTTCCATTTGCCATTCTGCTTCACCAGAGGAAGAAAGGTGCTGTTCAAAGTCATGGCGATAGAGAACGATAGCAAAAATAAATCCAGGAAGGTAGCAGCCACCTTGGTGCCATCTTTTCCTGGTGAGTTACTGCAGGGTCTGGAGGGAATTGCTGGCATTGGAAAGCTCCCAAACTCAAAACTCCAGGAGCAGAACAGACTGCAAGGAAGTAAGATGGAGTATGGGGAACTCGCTGGTTCCTTGTCCCAGCATCTCACGGCTGGACTACAGGAGGCAAGAGCCGCAGGACACATCCCTCCCAGCAAGCACCACCTCAGGGATAGTGCAAGGGTGCTGACTGCTGAACTTTCCACATTGGAGTAACACATAGACCAAAGTCAGTATGCAGTTAGGCGTTGGGAAGCATGGCAACAAGGTAATTGATAGAAATTTAGCATAGTCCTGTAACACAATGAGTTCACAGCTTGTCTGAACAGCCGGGGACAGGTGCTGCTGAGGATACAGCAGTGAGGAGCTGGGACACTCATGCTGCCCCTACACTGGGCTTTTTTGAAAGTGGAGATCTTTTGAAGAAAAAGGTGTGAGGGGTCCCTGCACAGAGCACTTCTTGCATTGTCAGCCACCCCTGCCTTCCTGGGTGTTGCCTGGCCTAGGGCCAGACCCCCTGCCACAGCTCTAGAAAATAACCCCCTCTTCTGAGCTCCACTTGCTGGTAGGCAGGGTGCGAAATTGTAGCCCACTCTGGGCAGGAATATGCTGGCTGGGCTGAGGTCCTTCCTGGCAGTGCAGAGCTCCTACTGTTCCTCCTCACCCCAGGAGGAGATGGCATATGACAAAGGCATCTCAGGCCTTCTCACCATTCCTCTTTCACCTTCTCTTCCTCTTCTTTTCATCTTCTCCCTTGTATGCATGCTTCTGCTTCATTACCACCCCTGTTCTGTTTCCATCTTCCTCTGTCCTCCCCCTTGCCTCCTGTGGTGCAGGAGAGTCTAAGCTGTCGCTTTGCTTTCAGGAATATGACCCCTGGAAATCCTCGGACAGGATCTGCAGGCAGCTGATTTACCACCTAACCCCCCACTCGAAATGGCACCGGCATGGCATGCCCCGGAGGAAGTCCCAAGTGTGGTAAGCAGCCTGGCAGGGTGTCGTGGTTTAGCCCGGCCGGCCGGCCACTAAACTGCACAGCTGCTGCTCACTCACCCTCCCCCACCCCCTGGGATGGGGAAGAGAATTAAAGGAGAAAAGGGAACCCATGGGTTGAGATAAGAACTATTTACTACTACTACTAATATATGAAAATATATATGTATGTACAATGATAATAATATATACAAACAAGTGATGCACAGTGTAATTGCTCACCATCCCTTGACCAAGGCCCGTCTCGTCCCGGACTAACGATCCTGAAACAGATAAGTCCTGACACCGCAATCCTGGATGAGCAAGAGGCCCAAAAATAGAGCAAGAGAGAGATAGCACTCCGAGAGTGAGAACCCCGGAAGAGCAAAAGCCCTTCTTTCCAGCTGACCCTCATGTTTATACTGGGCATGACGCTGCATGGTATGGAATACTTCATTGGTCAGTTTGGCCCTCAATCCTAAGCCTAAGTACAAATCATACGGGGAGTCGTGGACCCTCTGTCCCGGCTATGCTCCCCCCGTCCTGCTGTGCTCCTGCACACTGGCAAGAACCCGGCAGCTGAAAAGTCCTTGAGACCTCAGTGCCAACTATAAACATCAGTGCGCTATCAGCGTTCTTCTCAGAACATCTCAGACTAAAACCAAAACACAGAGCTCTCCTAGCTGCTAAAAAGAAGAGCTAACTCTGTCCCAGCTGAAAACAGGACACAGGGACAGTGTGGACGGGCACAGAGAGGGATCTGCCAGGAGAAACTGTGCTACAGCCAAGCACCATCCCAGTCTGCCTCTGCTGCCCTTCTCTGAGCAGGGCAGGGCTGAAAACCAGCATGACAGCTGCTGCTCAGTCTCTTAGAAAACCTCCACCAGTTGGCGCAGGGTCAGTACCAACATCCCTCTCCTTGATCTCGTTTGTCATTTACACCTTTTTTTTTTCAGTCTTACAGTTCCTCAGCCTCTCCCAAGTGCACTGAAATCAATCCCACTGATTGTAGGCAGCCCTCTCAACAGGGCTTGTAGGGTGTTTGGCCCTAGGAGCACAGCCAAAGCGGGCAGCCTTGCAGATACACACAGCCATGTGCCGAGCTGAGTCAGCTCCCAGCTCTACATCTCACTTTGTCATTTTTTATCCCAGTAAAACTTCCCTGCAAGTGGGGAAGGTCTCCCATTATGAGGCACTACCACAAGCTGATCATCCCATTCAGTAGGAGCCACTTTGGGGTGGCTGGCAGAGAGGAGGCAGCCAGGACCAAGAGAGGGACGTCAGATGGAGCAGAGCCTCATGCACAAGGAACCAACTCAAAGCACGTTGGCTGCTGACAGCTACCGGATGGCAGCTGCTTTCCAGTACTACGGATGTATTCAGACACCCACACTTGTTCCTCCAGGACACTTGCTGGCTTTTCTAACCAGATAAAGAGCAATTCCTACTTCTTTTAAATCCACCCTTCTGTCCTCATTTTCTTCAAGCAAAGCCTGTTCCTGTGGCACTGATCACCACTGCTGAAAAAAAGACAGAGATGTGACTAAGAAAAGAGCTCGTCAGCCCCATTACCTTCACAGGAATAAACGCAGGATTGGATAAAAAGAAATGCAAAATTGGCAGCACTCTGAGAACAGCCTTGGGCTTTCCTGAGACTTTCAGAGTCTTTGATGCATGTGCCAGCAACTTAAAAACCCTCATGAGAATTGACATTTCCATCATACCTTTCATTCTAAGAGGCAGATCCGTAGTGCATCTTAAGCAATAAAATCCCTAATACCATGATTTCCAGACCTTCTGCCTCTCACACCTGTAACCCCACTTTACCACTGACTCTAAGCGCTCTGTGAGTTTTAGTGCTCTCATCCTCAGCTCCTCCCAGGGCAGGACAGCTAGTGCCGGTTTGCAGGTGGAAACTAAAGCACAGAACAAGACCGAGGGTCCAGAGCTGAGCAAGTCCTTTTCCAGACCCACTCAGTAAGATGAGGCTTTCCCTATGGGATCCTGCAGAGCACTGGAGATGCAGGATGTAGAAAGCAGGTCTGACCTCATCCTCAGCCTCTCCCAAGAGAGAAAGGCTTAAAAATAAGAAATGCTGGAGACAGGAAGAGCTCTATAGAGGGTGGCTGTCCACATTCCTTTCCAAGCTCCCTTTTGCTGAAACCGAGCCTCATTCTGGTTTTCCAAGTGAAAAATCCCTGCCTGTCACCACCTAACTCAACCCTCTGCCCCTACTCTCCTGTTCGCAGGCAGAACAAGCCTCTTCTCCAGTTGCCTCCAGACTGGAGAGTCAAACTGGAGGTGTCCCCTCTGATTGCACAGCCCAGGGAGAGCGGAGGACTGCCTGCTGCACTTACTAACAGAACAGAGAGCAGGTCTGTGACCAGAGCTCTGGGCCCATGAGCCCAAACCCCACACAGAGGGTTCAGGCCTAAAGTATTGGCCAGGTACAGAGAGCATCTGTGAGCACTAGCAGGGAGAGGGCAGCAAGACAGCAAGCGATGGAGGGAAATGTAGGTTTAAAACAGGTGGCCATGCCTGGCACCCAGGCCCAGCTGCAAGGTGTTACATAAGGTACAAAATTTTGATTAAATATTAAACAGCTAAGCTTCCAAGACTGGAGAGGAACTGGTTTGCAGCAACAGGCACCTGCAGAGTTGGCAAGGAAATGGATGTTGCCAGTAGCAGGAAGGCAAGAAACAGCTGCTTCATTTAGAGATATTAGGGCCTCATTTTGTCCAGCCAGACTGTTTTTACCTGCTGAGCTCTTCTCTTACCTCGGTCTGCTAGTGGGAGTATTTTACTATAATCTGTCTCTGAACTTGTGCCCTTGGCTTGTACCCTTCCTACCTTCAAGGTCCCATAAAAAGCATGGGTGCAGCAGTAATACTATGAACGCATTTCTAAAATCTGGTGGGGACTTTGGACAGCATGGAGGAATCAGTGCATGGAGACCACATTCAGGAACTGAATTCCCCTCTCGCTTTTGCAGTCTCCTAGACTTTGGCTTCTGGCTTTCACAGAGCTGACGCAGGGCCCCCTTGTTCTCTTCTGAAATGCGATTGCTGCTTTCTGGAAGCATGTCAGATGGGTCCAGGAGTTAATTAACAAGCCTAACCATACAGAGAGCTTAGAGCATCTGCCAGGTTTTAATTATGTTTGGGCTGTTACGGAGATGTGGCATGGGAGATGGAAAGGACCCGTGATACTAGATCCAGATAACGCCTCAGGTGTTCCTCCCCACTGCCAAATAGCAAACCAGTGGGTCAGAAACAAACTAACTGCAGTTACGTTCCCATCTACTCTCAGTGGGACCCAAAACATCCAACAAGTACAAACCCAAGCCACTCACAAACTGATAAAGCAGAAAGAATCAGATACATTTCTTCAAGCACTCCTGTTTCGATACACAGCAATGCCAGGACAGCTGGAACTGTAAACTCTATTAAGATCCAATCATACTTCCACTAAGCAGGAGCAGTCCTATGCTATTCATGCTGTAGAGCCCAACCAGATACTAAATATTCACAAATAGACTAAGTTAGCAAAGCATCAAACGTGAGAGCCCGCAGACATGCAGGGATATGTTCCTCTAGACCTCCTTCACCACAAACCTGCTCCCCACTAAAGCCAGAGGTCCCACCTGCTTCCACTACCACCTTAGACACTGATGTATTCAGCCCAGGGCTATGACTGCAGCAAAGGTGCAACATGCCCCATACAGGACACCGTGGGCTGCTGTTTATCCTGTTTAGCCATTCCTCTGAAGAGCTACTGACAGAACGGACTGTCATATGGCACCTGGCCCTCAGTCTGGGAGAGAAGTCAGGCCACATGTTACTATCAGCTGAACGCCCCAAGCCAGAAGCAAAGTCCATATAGAAACGGGGAAAGAGAAAGCTTATTGCAGCACAGTAGACTCAGTACAACAGCAGCTGAAGCAAGGAGGAGAGATTCAGCCCAGACTGTGTCTGGTTTCTCTACTTCATTAAACTGTCAAAGGTGATGCTGAATTTTTCTTCTCTGAAAGGGTTGTCAGCCACTGGAATAAGCTGCCCAGGGAGGTGGTTGAGTCCCCATCCCTGGATGTGTTTAAGAATAGGGTGGATGAGCTACTTGAGGATATGGTTTAATGGGGATTAGGGATGGTTGGACTCGATGATCTCTAAGGTCTTTTCCAACCTGGAAATCTATGAATAAGGCGGTTTTCCCCTCTACATCCATGCTAATGGGTTCTTGACAGCGTCTGTCTGCCTTGTACAAGGAAGGGTTAGCAGTGTCCCCACTGGGCAGTCACCCAAAAAGACTATTTCAGCTGCCCAGGCAATACTCAGGTTTGCCACACTGAAAGCAAGGGGTTCAATTCTCCTTTCCTGCAAAATCCTGCCTCAGGTCTGCAGCTTCCATTCAACAGCCTGAACCCCAGCTTGCAGCTGACCCTGCTTGGGTTGGGTGCCTAACCAAACAGGGAAGTTGAGCTTTTGGGGGATTTAATGGGGATTTTTAAAATTAAAAACGAAAAACCTGGAGGATAGGATTTCCACAACAGAGACCAGCATGACTTTACTGCACAATTGTCAGTCCCTTATATTCTAATGGGAATTCAGTTTCAGCACCATTTTACAGTGGTATAGATCACTTGCACTTAACGAGCAAATTACATTTTGGAATGTTGTATAACTCCAGCTTCACTTTCTCATTAAGTTGAAGTTTATAGTGTAAAGAGTAACGGATTAAGAAACCCTCCTCTCTGCAGACATAGGCTTTTTAGGTTATTGGCGCCACTTCTGTGGTATTTTGACAGAACACAGAATTTTTGGATGTTATTAATTCTTGTTTTCAGAAGTCTTGAGGCTTCCTTAATTCAGCATTGCAGGAAATCTACATGTTCTAGTGCAATGTCACCATCTGCATGTCCCTGAATCTGGGGAGTGTATCACTTTTGGGGGGCAAAGCCATTTGGAGTGGAGAGGCAGAAGCATACCAGCGGAAGGCAGCCTTTGTCT